TTTCAGTCAGCATAAGGGTTTTAACTCATTGCACCACCGGGGGTTCCATTTTTGTCGATGAAAGTTGAGGTAGAACATTGAGAAATGCTCTTCTTTCCAAATTCAGATCAACGAGCAATTTTTGGATCTGTTCAAATCCAATGTAACATGAAAAATGATCTGACGATGAATACTTAACACTAAAACTCTTTTTGTTCTTCAGAGAGACTTGTCCACAGTTCATCCAATGTCACAAGTTTTAGTAAGAGACAGGCTTAATTGTTGACAAATTATTTAGGATGCTAATAGACCTGACACTATCAAGTGCAAGAAAGCCTCCTTGCCAGCTAATAGGCAGCTGTAGTCTTGCCGAAACCTGCTAGGAAAGCACCAACGAGGAGACACACTTGACTATATTGTGGTGTTGTCGGAACTACTTCTTCTAAAACAGGCGGAGTTACTTTTTGTGTTATCTAAAAATCCTTGGACAGATAAGACACACCCTAGGCAATGATTTTCTGAATTAATTATTTAAATTATGAAACACCAGCAAGGGAAAAAATCTATTCCATTAAAAAAATTCTCTGTAAGATGTCCTTACCCCTGACTATGAACTCTTGTCCCTCAACACGAGTGTCCCCTTTAGATCTCTGTAGCAAAGTGATCCAGTGATGCATCTCCTCGGGAGTGTCAGCGTTGCAGTGAAGAACACGGTTTGCTGTGATGATCACAAATGAATTGGGTCTATGCAGGGAATATAAAGAAAGGAAAATGCCTGTATTGTAAACATGACTATTATTTGGATCAATAACAAAGTGAGTCTGACTTACAGTGTTTGCTCTCAGTATAAGCACTTCCTCTTTGTTTGTACTGTATATTTTGGCAAGTGTTGAATCACTTTATTATTTTACCCTAAGTGACTTGTTTTTAAAATCCTGACATTTGACATCTTGGTCTTATCCTATAATAATTTATATTTAGATGTTAATAAATGTTTAATGGAGAGTTGGTTCCAATTCATGTTTCTAGGTGCCTAACCAAGGAGTTTGCAGTAGATATTATTGGGGCCAAAGGAGAGGCATTCTTAACTGGACAACTTTCAAAATTCACTCCAGTTGTAATATGTATCTTTGGACAAGTTGGTTAATGGCTAGTAGCAGACTGCAAGGGATGAAGTGTTCTGAATCATGCTGTTCAGAGAAGGCATCTAAGGGACAATATAAAATAGAGATGACAATGGACAAAGTTCTAAGGTTGATAAATAAATTAACATTTAACAAGTCTTTTCCGGCTGTCTGGCCATGTTCCAGAAGCATTTTCTCCTGACATTTCACCACATCTATGGCAGGCATCCTCAGAGGTTGTGAGGTCTGTTGGAAACTAGGCAAGTGAGGTTTATATATCTGGGGAATGTCCAGGGTGGGAGAAAGAACTCTTGTATGGTTGAGGCAAGTGTGAATGTTGCAATTGGCCACCTTGATTAGCATTTAATGGCCTTGCAGCTTCAAAGCCTGGCTGGTGACTGCCTGGGGAAATCCTTTGTGGGAGGTGTTAGTTGGCTCTGATTGATTCTTGTCAGGAATTCCCCTTTTTTTAGTGTTGCTTTTTATTTACTGTCCTGATTTTAGAGTTTTTAATACTGGTAGCTGAAAGGTCATTAAATGCTAACCAACATGGCCAATTGCAACATTCACACTTGCCTCCAGCAGACAAGAGTTCTTTCTCCCACCCTGGATATTCTACAGGTATAAAATCCCCACTTGCCTAATTTTCAACAGACCTCACAACCTCTGAGGATGCCTGCGTAGATGTGGGCAAAATGTCAGGAGAGAATGCTTCTGAAACATGGCCTTACAGCCCGGAAAACTCAATAGCAACCCAGTGATTCCGGCCATGAAAGCCTTTGACAAAACATTTAACAAGTCACTGCGCCAAAGTACTTAAAACTGTTGATGTTTTTAAAATGCTATTAGGTATTAAAATTAAACTCTTTCTTGGAGGACTGGAAAACTGCCAGTGCTAACAACTAATTTTCAAAATAGATTCATATGTTAAGCTTTAGAAGGGAGTCAGATAAACTCAAAAGGCTAAATCTAAGGAGGGTTATGATAAGTACATTGTGAGCATCATTTGCCAATTCTGAACTATAAAAATATCATGATATCAAGGTATGATGTCCGTGCTTTTTAAATGTTTGAAACCCTTAAAAATTTCGATTCAGACTATTGCTTCTGAAATGTAAAGGAAATTGTTTCAATACTGCAGCCAAAGCTGCTGTTTCTCTTTTCCATTTACTTGTGTTCCTTTCAGGGAGAAATGGCATCAACCTTACTGGTTCAGACACTCTAGGAGTAAAATTTAAAAGATAAATATCCTAACTACTGATGCAAAATTTCAAGACTTCCTCCAGTTTCCCCCTCTTGGCCATTGTTTTTTATA